TTATTTTTGTTGCATCGGGGCAATCTGCTGTCAAGGACTTTTGCAAAGTGCTTAAGAGCAAGTATGTCAGTGTAAGGACTAAGGTGTCCTGATCCAAGTCATGGTATTTTTCAATTGCTTCCTATGCATCTCAAAGTTGGACCATGAATAAGGATGAGTTAGGAGATAATTTGGAAGAATAGTTACCTTTGGATTGCGGTGTTGACAAAAACTATTAAATATACCACAGATTGTCAGAAGAGCAAACCCATCTATCTTGAAAGGGCACCCAGAGTGTTCCTTAGAGGTAAGGAAGGTGAAACTTCGTCTCGCTTTGGGCATATTTTCACGAGGAACCTTCCTTGAAAAGATAGAGGCTGGGAAAGGGAGAGTGACTAACAGAGCAAGACCCGTGATGAGATGGACTGATGGCCACAACGGGCTTGAACGTGAGAACACGCAGGACAGGACCAGGTGCAGAGGTGCCCTGCAGCAGGTTGCTACGAGGTGTAGTCAACCGGACAGCACTTAACATCCCGCAGCACTGCTTTGGTTTAGTCCTTCAGAAGCTAGATAAAACGCAAAACCTTTAGCAAGTTCCCAGCAAAGACATCAAAAAATACACTCGTCAGAGTCTTCACACTCATTGCCACCCAACCTGCACTGACTCAGCGCTGCCCCTCCACTGGGCTTCTGAAGCTGTAAGTGATATGGAACTGCTGGTACGGCAAGGCCCTCGGGTTGGCAGCGTGATATGTATAGACTACCCCAGTGTCTTAGCATCCAGCCAAGTAAGCATGACCCAATGTTACTCTATCATCTTCAACCACAGTGTCGTGTCCTTTGTCATATAGAGCAACACTGATGGTCAACTTTGCAGCATCCAAAGCTCTAAGCAAACTACTCAACCCTTCGCCACTCTCTCCAAACCAGCTGGGGGCAGGGGGTGGGGTGTCTCTGCATTTACCAAGGAGCTGAAGGACTACGCAGAGCATTGCTCTCATCTCACAAGTAAAAATGCCGTTTCAAATGGGATGCGCCTATATAATTTGAGTTCCTAAGGTGTTTGAAAACTATCTTCACAGTGATCTTGTCATCAAGACAGGCAGGCAGGGGGGGGTCCAGGCTTAGCCTCTGACTCACAGGCCTGACGGGTTATACCGTCACCACAGCACTATGACCATCTTCCACCAAAACATCTTAACTCGTAAGTCTGTCAAACCCAGGTCATTATCATTGGGTAGGTTCTTCTGTGCCAATCTGCCCCCTCCCAGAATCAACTGAAACTAGATGAAGTCAAGGGGTGGGAAAGGACATGGAGGTGGTAGAGCTTTACTTTCTCAGGTCCTCCTTCCTGTCTGATGCTCGTTCCTGGTGATGTTCCTTCTTCCGGCCCTACAGCATGGGAAGGTCCAGCAACGCTGTCAAAATAAAACAATCCAAGTGTGACTTCCACCAACTCCTTTCATTTTCCCCAAGAGCCTCCCCCAAGCAAACAAACTCCTTCATCTCAGGAGCCCCAAAAGGCAGATCCTTTCTGCTCTTTAGTATTTAATTAAACTTTTCAATCAAAGACTGATTAGAACTGCCTGTTGTGGTCAAGTCATTCTTTGAAAGAACTGAGAATTTTACCTGAATCCAAAGATTAATTGACCTCAAATTTGAAATCCTTAACAGCTGTATGGTCACCGTAACAATGCACTATCAAGTTTCTAGTAAACTTTGCACAAAAGTCACTTTGGTATTCCACATTACATACTAATTAGAAAAAAAAAATGATGCTTACAGTTCTGGTTCTGGGGAAGTAACTCTACGTCTCTTCTCATCCTGTACAGAGGAGAGGGAAAAAACAATTCGTTTCAAAGGAAAACTGAGACATAAGTCAAAGTATTAAGTGAATGGATTTAACATGTTTGAAAACAGAATAGAGGTGTGAGTTTTGGCAAAAGAGGTGTGAGTATCTGGGCAAGCATTAGCCTAGTATTGCTTATCCTGCCACCCCCAGAACCAGTGCAGGTGCCAGAGTTAGTCCAAGATGCGTGTGCTTACTAGACACCACTGCGTGAGGCTGTAAGGATTCAGATTCCCCACCGACTCATTTTATTGTTGCGGAAGAGAGACCACGTGGTCATCTGCAGCTTAGGTCAGAAATGACAACATAAAACTAACTAGCTCATCTCACAGTATTTTCCATCCCTAAGACATTTATTTCATTTAAAAAGATAAGATTAGAGCTCTGGTGCCTAGTGGCAAGAAGCTGCACTGCAATCTCAGAGGTCTGAGGTTTGTATCCACCAGATGCTCTGCTGGAGAAGGAGGGGCAATCTCCTCCTGTACCAGTCAGATCTGATTTGACAGTATACACAAAAAAATAAAGAAAAAGGTAAGATTATGTTGAAACTTACCTTCATCTTGGTTAATGTGGAGGTTTATTGTTATGTGCCGTCGAGTCGCTTGCGACTCATAGCGAATGTGGAGGTTATACAAACTCAAAAATGGGATAGAAGTTACACAGATCTACACACAGGTACAAACCAGGAAAATTTTAATGAAGTCTGTGTGTTATACCAATGTCAGCTTCCTGGGTTGATACTGTGTTACAGTTATGTAAGATGCGCCATGGGAAAGGTGGGCCAAGGCTACACAGAATCTCTACTAATTTTGCAACTTCCTAAGTCTAATTATCTCCAGATTAAAAAATTGTTAAAAATCTAAGATACATATGTAATATATCTGAAACAGTGTGTGTGTGGGGCGGGGGGGAAGCCAAAAATGATGACGGCTTACCAGTAAGAAGGCAAACTGACGCATGGGGTCAGGGTAGGAGGGAGCTACATCCTGAACACCCTTTTGTCCTGTTTAATACCACTGCATGTGTATTTACGTGCTTTTAAAACACAGTAATTTTTAGAACTTTAAACTGACCCAAATAAAGATTCTCTGTGTGTGACTGATATGACCTGCAAACAACTACAACCAAGTCTGTGAGAACCAGAATTAAGACAGGACTACATTGTTCTGAGTTTCACCTATTTTCCGTCTTTGAAAGGGTATAGTTTTATTACATTTTTATTGCTCATTTTAGTGGAAGTATTTCAATTTTACTCCTGACAGGTATGACTTTAAATGTCTGGCTTTCAGAGGCCTAACTGAATTTTATCATTTATTTGAACTTATTTAATGTTGGTCTCCTTATACTGTGTCTTCTCGTATTACAATCAACTATTTTTACAAATGCTCATCTCTGAAGACCCCAAGCTCTTCACACAAAGCCAGTGAAATGGCTCCTTTTGTGCCTCAATTTCCCAGTTAGGAATAGATTAAGAATTTGTTTCAGGGAGCTCTGGTGGCCTAGTGGCAAGAAGCTGAACTGCAATCCCAGAGGTGTGCAGTTCGAATCCACCAGATGCTTTGCTGGATGAGGGGTAATCTCCTCCTATACCTGTTAGATCTGATTTGAGAGTACACACACACAAAATAAAAGTAATTAAAAAAAAAGAATTTGTTTCAAAGGAGCTCTAGTGGCCTGGTGGCAAGTTATAATGAAATCCCAGAGGTACATGGTTCGAAACCACCAGATGTTCTGCTGGAGAAGGGACAATCTCTTCCTGTACCAGTCAGATCTGATCTAACGGTACACACAAAAAAAAATTAAAAAGAAAAAAAAATTTAAAAAAAAAGAATTTGTTTCAAAGGAAAATAAAAACATAAGTTAGAGTCTTAAGTGACTATGTTTAACAGGTTTGAAAACAAGAGAGGTATGGGTTTGGGGGAGAAGCTTCAGGCAACCATTAGTCTAGTATTGCTTTTTTATACCATCCACAAAACCAAGCAGTGGTGGGAGTTCATTCAATACACGTCAACTAGAGAGAGTCAGATGTATATCTAGCAAGCAAGAAGATGCGCTGGAATCCTGAAGGCACATGGTTCGAATCCACCAGCTGCTTCGTGGAAGAAAGATGCATTATCCTCCTCCCATGTGATTAACTACCTACCTCTGAAAAGCCCCCAGAGGGTCAGCTATGGGTCACTTCCAACTCGATGGTAAACAAGTAATAGATCTATTAAACCTCTAGGTATCCATCTGGATAAACACCATAAACGCAGGGCTCCAATTAAGGCATATTTTGAGTTATGACATCTAATTTCTAAGATTTAATGGCATAACTATTAGCGGTCTTTCAGCCAGATGTCTAGCTGATCCAAGTGACATACACTAAGGCAGTCACCGTAGCCTAGTATTTCCTATCCAGGGTATTCCACCCCAGGGCACATGTGGCCATGTGTGTGGGGACAGTTTAACTGTCATGCCTGCTAGTGGCATCTAGGGGGTGTTGAGGCCACGTATGCTGCAAGCCTTCTACAGTGCACAGGACAAGCCACAACAGAATCATTCAGCCCCAAATATCAGTAGTCCTAGGTAGCAGCAAAGTATCTGCTGTTATTGCTGGGTACCATGGAGTCGACACAGCCACTCTCAACAGATCTGACCCTTACCCTATCCTGTGCCAGACCTCAGGATCTCATATGCTCAAGCCCGTTGTTACAGTCACTATCAAGCTATCTTCAAAGTCAAAACAAAGGTAAACTACAATTTTTCTTTTAACCTACAAATCTAAATCGGCAACAAACCAGGAACGATAGTCAATAACGTGACCAGGTGGTGCTACTTAAGTTCGATCTTCCTTAAATCAGACACAACAGTACCGTAAGAGGTGACATTTCCTATATGAAATGCCCTCAGCAAGCCACCAGCTTTTTAACCTACTGAGTCCAAGTAGCATCATCACATTAAAAATGAGACTGTAGCATAGAGGAATGTACTTGGGGTGGTGGGAGGGGTGCGGGGGGATTGTGTACCAGGGAGGGAGTTTTTCTATTACTTTTCAAAGAGAAGCAAACTGGGGTGTGGGGGAGGGCTGGGCAGGGAGAGAAGTGCAGCAATGAATGAATGGAAATCCAAAATCTCTGTAAATGTTCATTAATATTATTAAAATACTACAATCCCAGAGGTGCACGGTTCGAATCCACCAGATGCTCTGCCGGGGAAAGAGGGGCAATCTCCTCCTGTACCAGTCAGATCTGATTTGACGGTACACACACACAAAAATAATAAAATTTAAAAAAATTATTAAAATAAAAATAAAAATTAAAAAAAAATGAGACTGTGCAATTCTGCTTCAACAGGGAAACCCCACGTGTGACAGTTCATGGTATCAAGAGCAATGTCCCTTCCGCTCTGCTAGTCTGACTGCCAACTAGACCAACAAGCAGTAAGGACTGATTGTCGTGGGTCTGGCCTGTGAAGACCAGAGGCCTGTCCAGCCCTGGGTTCTAACTCTAATATACCTCACCCTGCTCTGCGTTCTGGGACAGGTTCTCGCACCCCGCAGCTGAGGACTGTCCATTTCAGTAGTTCAGGTGTAAGGTCATGACCACCAGCAGATACATTGGAAAGAAGGTGGAATTCAGAAACTTGGAAATTCAAGTCCTACCGTGTCTGCATCTTTATCAAGATCGTCTGGGTTTTCCACTTGCAGTTCATCCACAGGTTTCCGTTTGCCAGACCTGTCACACAGTGAAGCTGTTAGTGCCCCTCGACCTGTGGCAGGCCCCTCAACCTGCAGCGGGACCCCCAGACCTGCGGCGGGCCCCTCAATGCCTCCCTCCCAAGAACACGCTTCAGCAACCTGGAAGGGTATGCGTGCGTTCTTCCTTCTTAAAAAGTCTTCACTGGCAGGACGTTTAAAGGAGCTTCAAGTTTTACGTGTCCTTTGAATGGCCACCATTCTGTAACCCTTAGTTCAGGGGTATGGACATTCTAGTCAACCGGGGGACATTCTAGTCAACCGGTGGACATTCTAGTCAACTGATGGAAGAACACTTTGTCACCTACAAAGATAAACCAAGCCCAAACCCCGTGGCAATCCTGCATCCACCTTCTAAAACCATCTATCAAAGTAATCCAGTTGAGAGGAGAGTATGTGACATTGTTTACAGAAGGATACAGATGACATGATAGCCATGACGTGATAACTGATGGACACTTGGTGTCACATACCAGGGTTCATACTATCATTAACCCTGTTTGTTTATACTTAAAGTTTTCAAAAAAAAGGTAAAATAGAGTAATCTCCAAAAAATGTTAGGAGCTCCAGTGGCTTAGTGGTTAGGTGCTGAGCTGTCAACCCAAACGCTTCAAGTTCAAATCCACCAGCTGTTCCATGGGAGAAAAATGGAGCACTTCCTCCTGTGTAATTTATTGCCTCCAAAAAATGTGATGGAGAGTCAGCTGTGAGTTGGTTCCAAATCAACGGCATGTAAGAGATGTTAATAATGATTATCTCAACAGAAGTACCAGAAAGAAAAATATCTATTAAAGTTAGAATTGCTTAGTTGCTATGCGTCGTCGAGTTGACCATGACTCCTAGCAACCGTCTAAGCCACAGGTGAGACCCCTGCCCTGCCCTCCAGTACCCTCACCATCTTCGGCTTCCCCAAGCCCACGGTGACAGTCACGTCAACCCATCTGGTTGAGGGTCTTTCTCTGATCCTCTACTTTCCCAAATACTACCCCCTCCTGAAAAGACGCCCAACGCATGTAAGACCAAATTTCACTACCCTTTGTCTCTAAATTATCTCTTAGAACTTCCATCCAGAAACAGTCGGCCCAGAGAAAAGGCAATTGTCAATTCATTATATACTGACTCCTGTGTAAGATGAGCCACGATGGAGGTCTGGCGGGTACTTCTCCTTGTCATCTTGGGACTAGGTGAACTGTCAGCTGTTTAAAGGGAAAAAAAGTCACCGTCAATACATAGTCCACAACCATGATACAGCCCAATGTCGCCAAGCTACAGACAGAACTGCTTCTGAGAATTAGAATAAAAACCAAAGGATGCTCACTCAATACCCACGTGCAAGTCCACAGCTATTACTTGACGTGTTTACTAGCCATTTCAGATGCTTTTTGTTGAGAGGTCCTAGCCCTGGACCAAGGAGCTCTGGAGATCTAATGGTCAAGAGATGTGTTGTCAACCCAGAGGCAAGCAGTTCTAATCCACCAGCTCCTTTCCAGGAGGACGGGCAGCCTTCTCCCACATGGTTCGTAGCCCTTGAAAACCTGCTAGAGGGTTAGCTAGGAATCGGTTCCAACACAATGTAACTTAACAGCAACCCTGACCCAGACAAGAGGTGGAACCACTTAGACTGTCAAAGGATAGAGTGGCTGGGACCTGGAGTCAGGCTCAAGTTTTTAATATTTGTGAGTTACTTTTTGAGAGAATTCGAAGAGTTAGTGTTTCAAGACAAAGATTTCAGGGAGCTCTGGTGGCCTAGTGGCAAGGAGCTGCAACTACAATCCCAGAGGCACACGGTTCGAATCCACCAGATGCTCTGCTGGGAAAAGGAGGGACAATCTCCTCCT